TGCAGACGGGATTGTGCCGATGCCTGTCTGACTGTTGATCCTGATCTGCAAGAACACATGCTTCAAGAGTTCCATCGAGTGGCAGCGAGTATGGGTAAGTTTCAACTGTTTGAATTAATATTATTATTATTTTGTCCATAATCATCATTATTTTGTAATTAACAAAAATATAATATATTTAAGTATTTAAATAATTAATCAGGTTCTTGTAGTTTAAGGTATCAAGTACTACTCGTCTTCTCGCCACTTCCCTTTGGACAACTTGGACCTGTGGAGCCCAGATGGTGTAAGTAGAGTATATTGTGATGAAAAGTTTCATGTACACATGGCAGTAGTTCAGTTCATAGCAGATGCAAATTGAGAGTACATTTTTTGATCATTAAATGTATTATTCTAACTTTTTTTCAGGTCCACTTGAGTGATGGCGAAGGCATGGTGGTCCTTGCTCGTTTGCTGTGGGCTGCAGCTTACGAGCAACTGGAGGCGCCTGTACCGAAACCGGTACATTCGTCACGTCACTACAAGGGTCGTTGTGAGGGGAGAGGTCATCGTGCCTCGCCCCTCTAACCCTTATGAGTGGACGTCTGTGGAGAGGGGCCGGAAGGTAATATTTGCACACTGTAATGTGTAAGGTGTTGAGACTGATATTCCCCCAGCAGTTCTGTTATGGTCAGTGGGTCCTTATTTTTAACACAATGTCTGGCACTCTGTGCTTCTGTCCAATTACTGAAGGACATGCCTATTCCGCTGAACCCCGTGAAGGTATCAGCAGTTCCATGTTGGCTGTACATGATGCTGTTGTTCCTTTCCCATATTCCACCCATGGAGTGCACTTTGCTGTTCCCACAAGACCAACAACAACAATGGTAATTTGACATTCAAAAGACTTGTATCATCTTTGAAATTTGACTACTATCCTAAACCTTACCCCCTTAAAAATTGCATCCAACGTAAAAGGCAGCTTATTCCCAGAGAAAATATTCACGTTTAAAGTAATAAATATTTGGACTATTCCTTTCTCTCTACATCTAGTAAAACCTAGTCGACTGGAAACGTAGGCAGAAGGATTGTATGCTTTAAGACGGGAGACTAGCAAGGCATCCAGTTTGCTTCTTCCAACATTCATTACATATTAAATAATAATAAATTAAATGGGTTTGTACAGTTTGACAGACAGGCGGCATATTTTAATACCTTGGTTGTCTTGCTTTTCGTATTTACGTACTGTTATTTAGTATATTAAAAATTACAACCTTTACATTCAGTTTATGTAGGTCTAAATTTTGTTTTTAAATGGGAGGAATGCAAACGTATTTCACTTGTTGATGCACGTAATCAGACCAACATTTATGTTGAAACTGACACATGAAACCCTCATTTTTGAGGTATTACACAAATTCTCTGATGTGTGATAGACGTACATAATATAGCTCATAAACAACGACAAAATACAAAACACATATCCATCAATATCATATTTGAGCTTAGCTTAACAGTAGCACACAAGTTTA